CTTTGTAAGCGAGTTTGCTTCAGTCTGGGTGAGACCGTCCGCGGATGCCGGGTCGACAGTGTCGGTGTTCGACGCATCTTCTGACAGGAATTTTTCTATTGAACTGAGATTCTTCTTGTCATACTGTCCGAGATTCATTAGAACGAGTTCGTCGTACGGCTCGTATAAGAAAAGAACCTGGGTAGATAAATGGGGATATGAAAAATAAGCGAAACCAGTAAAACAGAAGCATTGACAGCTGCCGCATTACAGAAACAAAATTATAGCAAACGCTCTACAAGAATTGTAAAAAATTGGCGTTAGGAGGGATAAAGAGTAGGGCAGAAAAAGCACCGGTGGGGCAAGCCTGTCAAACTCTGTCGACCATGAACACGTTTTCTAAACGCGGGATTAAACAGCTGAAGACCTGGCTCCCCGAGTAGGCCGTTGGCTATATTCTGTCTGGCTCAGGAGCCCGTAGCTGGAGGAATGGCCGCAGACAGAGGCGAGTGGTGTCGAGGCAGGCAACGCCTTCCATTTAGATCGTTTTCTTGGCTGTGCATGCCTGAAAATCCAACTCCCTATTGCATCTAAATAAACTCGTGTCAGACGCCCTGGTGGTTTACGAGAGATCAGCCCAATCAGCGAGCAGACAGGAGTAACCCTAGGCTTTTGTGAGGTCCCGTAACCGCTGCACTTCGGGTCCTCCCTCTAACGTGCATGGTCACCACTTCGGATTGAACCAATAGCAAAACCCTTTTTAAATGGTTTTTATCATTACAACTCAAGACGCCTATGATGACAACATTGTCTATGTAAAAAAAGTACCGGGCGACGGTTTGAAACAAGTCTGCAAAAGAGATCCACTTAACCCTCTTTGCGAAGGCCGAAGTCCTCCAACGGGCCATTTGGTCCCTGCTTTGTAACGAATAGAATGCACAACTCTATTTTCACAAGTTCTGTAGATGCAAGGCTGGATTAAATTTACTGACAATTCTATGTAACATCTGCAAAACCTAAGTCACTGCAAGTTAGTCCCTCGTGAAAAGTATGTAGTTGCGCCCTTGCTGGAGCCATCCGCGACGCTTTATGCCTACGCAGTCTGTCCACGTACAGTTAGAGTCCGAAAGAACGGCAGTACCATTAGTAGGGACGAAGGCAGTCTTGAGCATCATGGTACATTAGAAAAGTTTGAAAGAAGCCTACTAACAAATATGATCAGCCTGAAAACAGGAACGGTTCCGAGCGAGG